ATCCATTTTTTTGTGGGATGTTTTTTTTTTCAGTTTCCAGAAGTGTGCCGTAGTCTGAAACAAGTTGAGTAGCTCTATTACAATACAGACTATCCTTCAGAATTGAGTTCTAAAGATTATATCCGGAAATCTGCCTATCGTGTATATTGGGTGAATTGTTCTGCAGTATTTGGGGCGGTTTAGTCGCCCTTTGTGTACAGGCGCTATGTTCGCATCTTTCCCGTCAGTGGGAGCAGCCTATGCATGATATTCATCGTTTATGTACAGACAGAAGAATGGCACCAGGTCATGGAGAAGTCTGGCTTTTTAGGGCTTCCAGTAGCTGTTAAACCTCTGACTCCCCCATACGAATAGTACTTGATGCAAAACCTCTTCATTTGTTTAAAGTTTCCCCCAAAACTTTGACACAGGCGTCAAAACAACAACAGCAACGCTATAGAGTCAGTAAGGACACAGAGCGCTTGCAAGACCAATCCGATTGGCCACATAGCGGTGGGTTGAAGATGTCTCCGCCCTCTCCTTGTGTGAGGCTCGCCGGCTTTCTCGTTTATAGCGAGGAAGGAGAAAGTTTTTATTTAAACCCCAGAAATACAAAAAAGGAGACCGAATATTCAAATAGATACAGAAATAGACACTTCACAGCCACTTCACACTTCTAAAAGCTGAAAACGATACTTTTTACGCATTTCCATTGTTTTTCCTGCCTTTTGATTCTTTAAAATTCGAAAAGAATGTAAATAAAAAAGGAATTCTACTTCTAAAGCATTAAGAGAGGGAGCAGTATTAGACTATTGACTTTCGTGGATGAAGTTTTTCGCCAAAATACTTAACAGATTAATAATAAAAACACATCCTTTATCCAAAATCAGATCTAAGCAAATATCAAATAATATCAAAATCTTTCAATTTAACATGTACCTTCAAATGTTTAACACTGACATTTTGCAAATCTACCCACAACAGTTTTCAATACATACAGTTAAACAGATGCAACAGAGATTCCAGGAAGGAGTGAGGAGAGTCTGACGTGTGTAAAGAAACAGCCACTCAGCGGATTCGCCCGGCTTCGGGGGAGGGCTGACGTTGACCGGTTGTCTTTGTGCGTTTCTCGGTTTGACGTCTCTTTCCAACTCCTCGAAGTCTCTCCGCGAGGATTACCCGGGGGACAGTCTTTCCAGCGGCTCCGCGGCTCGCCTCGTCCAGACCCTCAGGTACCCTCGCCTGTAGCGCAAGAGAAGCGAACAGCGACAGACCCAATCGCTCTCACGCTGTGGTCTTCCTGAGATCGGAATAAAGGGAACCGTTTCTGCAGCAGAGCAAGCCTACACCACAGCACTCACCCTGAAACGACAGCGATCGACTCTTCGCTTGCATTACAACGTTTTTGAAAGAGCACAGAGAGGCGTCAGCAAAAATCGAGTTGGAAAAAGACCGATTCTTTTTTTTTGAAACTGAAGAAACTTCCACATCTTTAACTACATGCTGCAAATAACTGCATAATATATATGCAATTAAGGGGCTGATCGTGTGCTATTTCTTTCAGCAGCACAGAGGGACAAATGCAGAGTGTACATATACACTGTACTGCACGAATATTGAGGGCGCATTGAAAAGCAGTCTGTCTAGTGGTTGCAATCTAACCGGTTGCAATACTTGTTCCGTTTGCAACGCCTCTCGCTATTCATCTTTAAACTCCTTTCGAAAGATTGTACAACTTAAGAATTAATAATGTACATACATACTGTGGGGTTCCACTAACAATAGTGTGACAGTACTTCAGCGAACGATTCTTAAAACCCTCTTGGGAGGATTACGTCACATTTCAAGTTGAATGTCGCACAGAACCGCACTGGAAAACCAGCGGTCTGACCGCAATCTATGAAAAGCCGGTTGCATAACATTGCAAGGGGCCCCAAGAGTCCGGCCGACGCTCGGAGTTGACTGTTAAAGGTTGTGGGGCGGGGATCCAATCGCTCAGACAGCGCCCGCAGCTCGCGCCAGCTCCCGGAGGTCGCCGAGTTCGTTCGGAGGAACTCGGACTCCGGTTACAGTACAGAGCCAGCTGACGTACTCCGGGGGCACACGAGAGGGGAAAAACCTGCTTCTCCTGCCCCGATAGGGGGCTGCTTACTTCCATTTGGAAATCAGACATAAGCAGTTTGTGGCGTCTTGGGGGTCTTATCCAGCAGTCTGTATATATATTTATTTTTGGGAGAAACCGTCTTCGAGGCATGTCTCTTGTCTCTTTGTTTTCAAATTGATCCGTACTGAAGAGTAAAACTCTTCAGAATGCTTTAGAAGTAGACACTTTATTTCTCAAGATCACACGTTCTGAAAAAAACTGTCGCTAAACGTCATCTAAACGTAGAAGCGCAGGCATGTGCGATTGATCTCATGGGAATTGGCGGTTCTTGACACCTTTTCTTGCCTTTCATGTGGCCTGGGATTGACGAAGGATATTTGCTGCCGAGGCTTGTTTTTCAAGCGGATCATACTGTTAGGCAACTGGTGGTCAATACCCAGTCTGAGTAGCAACGCCTGTGATGTACAGTTCCAGCGCTCGCGCGTGACGTCGGCTCTTCCCTCCCAGTCTGTAGAATGGCCGGCGTGGGGAAGCTCCGTGTGGCGGTGATCGGCGCAGGCGCGGCAGGGCTCTGCGCCGCCCGGCATCTGCTGGCGCGCCGGGACATCTTCGCGCCCCCCGTGGTGTACGAGCTGACGGAGCGGGTGGGCGGCACCTGGGTCTACGAGGATCGCGTGGGCACCGATGAGAACGGGCTGCCAGTGCACAGCAGCATGTACAGAGACCTGAGGTAACGCATGGCAAAGCACCCAGCAGGCTGGCGCGTCATAGCCAGAACGCAAAGGAACAGGTACAGGTTTATTACAGGAAAGAGACACGTTTCGGCTGTGGAGCCTTCTTCAGGTGTTCAGGCTCCACACCTGAAACATCCTCTTAGCAGGGAATAAACCTTCACCTGTTCCTTTGCAGCCTACACATGCTGACGCAACTCCCTACTCGAACATAGGCA